CCAGACAAACTGCAGGTAAGAAAATCTATATTTCATTGTTTTTATCTATAAGGTGCTCTTCAGATTTTTTCATGATTTAGAATAACATATCTAAATGACATCTACAATTTGTGATATATGACTTCATATCTGTATTATGACAGACATTTTTAATTACTATAAAATATTTCGATTAAAAATCCATTTTGTTGTCAACAATGTGGAAGGGAAGACTGAACCATGTCTCCCTCTGAACATGTTTTAAAATCGTGGACAATGAGGTGGATTTCTTCCATTGCTAAAAGCAATACAATGGAAGCTCACAAACATTACTCTTCTAAGTGTATTTTTCTGACATTTATTACACACTGAATCAACACATTATAAGAGAGAATTTAAATATCAACACCTTGGGAAGAAAATGAACAATATGGTTTTGTTAATGACTGTAAATTTCAACTGCATTGATTATGATGTATGAACAGAAATAAGTTTAACACTGGTACTGTCTTCTGCAGGAAATCTGCCAGAACCTCAAATGCAAGACACCACATCGCTCAGGCTTCTACTTTGCAGGACCTGCACTAGAGGGAACCGCATGTGGCAAAAATAAAGTGAGTGTTAGCAACTGAAGTGACTGCTGGTATTATGACCCTACACTGTCACACTAAGCCATGTTTGCACATTACAGAGGTGCCAGGGTGGAGACTGTATGCCAGTAAAGAAAAAGAAACCTCCTGTAAAGGTGGTACCAGGTGGCTGGAGTGAGTGGCGACTGGGCTCCTGCTCCTCAGGGTGCATCACTAAGGCACAGGGTGAATAACTTATGGTTTCATTATCTCTTGCTACACAGTTGCTTAACTTTAATACATTTTAGCTGTGTGATGTGGGCAGTACATATTCATATATTACACTGCGATAAAAAAAAAAAAGACCCAGGATTAAATTGCCCAGCAGTTGAAGGAGTCAAGTAGTGTAATGAGAGAAATGTGAATTTAATTCAATCTTCAGAGCTGAATAGACCTTTATAATCCAATAACACATTCACATTTTCATTTCTTATCTCCAAAATTGACTGCCAGACAAACAATTTATGATGATAACAATCATGCTCTTGCATTTAATTTACAGTAAAGAATCATGCAAAACATTATAAAGAAAGATCATTGATGACTTAATACACCCCTAATGAAATTAAGAATATAGCATCTACCACTTACAATTTAATAAGTAGCAACTGACTATCTGTGGGGTTGTGATGCCATGTAGTCTTGAGGGTTATCTGCATTTTGGAAGTTCAGTCCTGAAGATGGAGTTGGTATGTTCCTTTCAAACACAGGTGACAACCTACAAGACTATGTGGTATTAAAATCCAGAAGATCATATCAGTTAGAAAGAATGTAAATGAATTGGTCATTGCCTATTTGAAGGTTCTGTCCAAGCATTTGCCTGGAGGAACCACGGAAAACAACAAAACAATTGGTACATTTGTCAGTGTCGTGAATGATGTTTAAATTATTGATGGCATGAATATGTAGCAGAAGTTTTGAACACTACGCCATGATGTATGATGCTTCAGATATATTACTACAACATGATAGAAGTTTATATCTTAATTGCGTCATGTTTGTGTTATATCAATACATATATTTATTTTTCCAGTCTATACACAAAACTTGTTTTAAAATAATGTTGTTTAAATTTTTTTATAACATTTACAATATAAATTGCATTATGTTATATTTTATGTCGCTTTTCTGTGTCGTATAATATTACATCTATCACAGCGCTTTTGATTTTGACGACATGTTTCGATGTTTACCACATCATCTTCAGGCTTATCAATTCATACATTTTTAAAAACTATTGTACATTTTTGTGCATTGCGTTTATTGATTTTTAATTTTCAGTCTTCATCTTGATTTGGAGTATGCATTTTGATGTTCATTATCAGGTTGTATTGTGATGTATCGGACGTCTGATATCCACAGACGATAAACTGCAACTGACATAATGCAATTTATATTGTAAATGTTATAAAAAATGTTAAACAACATTATTTTAAAACAAGTTTTGTGTATAGACTGGAAAAATAAATATATGTATGATAGAAGTTGTTCACTTCTTGGGCACTAGTGTATTCTACAGCCACATATCATATATACAATATTTGATTATTGCATGAGGTCATGATTTGGCTTGTTTTAATATATTTGATGCAGGCAGATTTGGCAATAAGTATGTTGATCAACAGGTTACCAGCAGAGACAGCGTACCTGTGACAATCCAAAGCCAGTCAATACAGAAGAAGGCTGCGAGGGATCGAGTTTTGATGTGGTGCTGTGTAAGGCTAAGAAGGTATGCAGTTTAATTGTATCACTAATAAGGTGATAAGCATCAAGTGCATTTTTTATGTTAGTATGCTCTTTACAGGTTTGCAAGAAACAAATCTCTGTTGTTGACTTTGCTACAATAGCCTGTGCTAACTTCAGCAAACTGCTTCCAGAATTGGACCCAAAAGGCTCTGGACTACAGGCTCCACATGAGAACTGTAAGTTGCAGACTCTTTATAATCTTGAATGAAACAGTGGAATTTCAAAACATCCAGGTACATTTTATGAAAACTTAAATGGTGTTGGTATTTTTCTGCTATATTGGTACTGCTGATGACAAAGAGTTAAGAAGTATCATGATATGGAGATTCAAGTTTCAAAAAAATTTGTCTATTAGCGTATGTAAACCGATGTGCATATTTGAATCACAACATATTTCTTGCTAATAGGTTTCCTAAAATGGAAGTGACAGTGCCTGATAATATAACAACTTACATATTTCATTGGCACAGCTCGCCTGTGGATGGGGTGTGCCATCTTCTGTCGACGTAAGGACACAGGTTCCTACTACACACCACGTCTTGACCTCAATGACCTAGGCGTGAACCCATACTTCCCTGATGGCACATGGTGTCACAATGATGGCGCTTCAAACTACTACTGTGTGCAACATCATTGTTTGCCCGAGGTACAGCTTGTCATGTGGAACTTTAATTGACAATGGAAATAAGATAATCTCCTGCAGTAAAGTAACTTTAACAAACTTGATTCTAGAAAATTTTTACTATTTTATCCCATGTTGGACCACAAGTGAAGTATAAGAACACAGATAACCATTGTAACCTCTGTATAACAGCTGATACAGTATATAATGCCACAGCAGCCTTTCCACTGTTTATGCTGAGAAGTAACCTTCTTTCCTCTCTAGGTATTATGACAAGTTGTTCTTTATTATCAGACTTCCCAGATCAGAGTTTCCATCTTTTCTTAACCGTACTCTAAGGTAATTAGAGGACTCATCCAATGAAGCAGCAGTGAGACTAATTTTCTCACATAAATAACCTCTATATCATGCAGTCCCTTTTACTTAGATTATCTCATTGTAAGCACAATTCTTTAATTTTCTCTCCACAGAACTTCTGGCTTGGCAGGGGTCTGCCACACTTGTTTGGCAATGAAGATGTACCACTACCACAGAATGCACCACCTCGTCTTGTGCCACTCTCAGGCGACTTACTGCGCTATCTCAGTCTTGGAACAAATGGTCTTCCACTGCTAACCACACTTAAACCTGGGTCCACATCACCACCTGCTGAAGAGGAGTGGACTGACCATGACTATGTGGATCTTCCATCTCATTAGAGTGATGCACATGTTTTGACTGTGTTGCATTCCTGTTCCCCTCACTCATCATGCTCCTTCAAAGTGTTCCACTGTATCAGTTCCATTCATAGTTTTTCAATCTTCCTTGCAGAATTTTTTGAATGCTAAATGAAGCCACATTTCCTACTGGGACTGTCACCATCAGTTGGACTTGCTACCAAGATATATTTGTTCAGTCATTAAATAAAACATAAATTGTTGCAGAACATATATCCGTGTTTGGTGCTTTAGTGTTATTATTCGAAGGCTGTTTAATACTGCTGTATCAGGTGCAGAGCATTTATAGCTTTGAAGAAAATTAGAAGATTATTATATACTAGAAATTAAAAAAAAATAAGGGAGAGAAAGTAAAGTTTTCTCTGTTGTAGGTATAATTACTATACATATTTTCAGAGTTTTTTTAACAGTCTGATTTACTGTTGGAAATTTGTTTTGAATGTGGTAGCCATTTAATGTGGTCAGATCCAACGTGTGACTTCTCTTTCCACATGTTATAATCCTGTACTCTGAATTGATAAATCCCATATACTGACTTCAACAATTACTGATACTAGGCATGTTTCACTTATTTATATCTGTTAGATACCCAGTTCAAATCTCAGACAGGACACTGGCAATCCTGACTGGGGTTCATTATGGAATTCCTCACTTATTCCAGATGATACTGAGATATCACCTTGAAGAAGGCTGTGATTGATATTTCCCCAAACCTTTCCAATTCACAAAATCATATTCTCATTTCATTTGACATTACATAATATTTAATAATCACTGTTAAATACCATAAATTCATAGGCTTTTATGTCATTCCATGTTTACCACTGCAAGTGGATGCTCGATGTTGGTACATGCTTTGTATTATGTGTTACTGCCACACAGTCTCAAAGATGTTGACAGTCTTCATGCACAGATTTTGAAATAAATTTACAGAGTTTTCCATGTGGAGTTTATGTTAACACCTTCGCCATCATGATGAAATTGTATCCCAAGTTTATTTTCATATGAGCGACTGGCTATGCACTGGATGACTGGGGTTTGATCCCCAACAGGGGCAGAGGATTTTTCCTCTAGCCTGTGTGTCAAGACTGGTTCTGGGGCCCACCCAGCCTCCCATCCAATTGGTACTGGGGTCCTTTCCTGGCGGTAAAGCACAGCCAGGGCATGATGCTGACCACTCACCCCCATCTAGTGCTGAGGTCAAGAATAAGTACGAGTTATACAACCTGTCCCCCCAAGCACCTACATGGCATATAGTGGGACAGTTTTACTATTTATATCTGTGTATGTTTCATGTAAATATAATTCCTGCTTGAAATAATTTGCTCTTTGTCAAATATAACTTCTTCCACTGCCTGATGTTCTGGTAGATTGTAGAATTTGGCAAAAGAATTGTCCACGTTATTACAGAGGGTCTTAATTTTTTACATCCTATCATAGATTTTCATTTGGTTGATTTTAAATCCATTTGTATTTACCAATTTTATTAGTTTCTTGAGACAATGCAGATCTTCTTTGGACCTCAAGGCAATGATCATATCATCTGCATACAAATATATTGACACTGTCTGACTTTTGGAACTCGTGGATCAGCTGGTATTGTAATGAATAAGAGAGGGGTGTGCAGATGGCCATTTAGCACTCCATTTGTGTGCACCAGTTTCTTTGATTTGTTAATATTCAATTCATTTATCATCTGTTATAATACCATTGTACACCAGTAATTTATTTTCCTTAAGAGGTGATTTTATCTTCAAATCATGTCTTCTTGTTTACTGATTACTTTGGTCCCGTTTAGATCACTGTTCTTCTATAGTCAATAAATACAATTTCCATTAATCTTAAAACTTTGCATACCATGTAATGTATTAGAATATAGAGTAAGCAAACCAACAACTATTAACACTATAATAAGACACAATTGCCATACGCGTTTCGACCTCAAGAGGTCATCATCAGTGGCATCAGGGAAATTAATACATTTAGTCAAATGGTTCAAACTGGATTTTAATTACTTACGATTCGAATATTGAACGATTGGACCCAAGAAACCCAGGAAATACCACAACTACTGCCAAGAGAATTAAAGAACGTTTTACATATTATTTTATGAATGAAGGAGAAGGTCCATGGCAAGATAAAATTGTACATTAATTTCTTGTAACTGATGTCTACATAAAATCTGTTGAAGTATACCTGTAAGTGTGTAGCCGGCTTTATTCGGGGTGATAAGGGTATTTCGGTTGAACTGACTCTTGTCATTTTATTACTATTCTTATAAAAAAGAAACATGACGACAGCACACTTCCATCATTATAACAAATATTGTTGTGTAGCTTTTGTGAACGTACCCTGAGGTTATATTCTCTGCCCAAAGAGTATATTGGTGTAAGTTGATGTACATCAAGCCAATGTTTTGCAGGGAAAATAGACCTTTATATCCTCTTGGGTAGATGACGTGCAAGAGGACAGACAATACCAACATACAAGGGGAGGAAGAAGAAGACGATAACATGTGATTACGTTGTAGAGGTTATATTCTATAGTTTCAAGTGTAAGGGCGAAGGATGTCACATTTTGTGGTGTACTGGATTGAGAACGTTAATAAAAGAAGAGAGTGAAGAATTGGTTGAAAGAATATTAAACAATTCCCTACATGGAGCTGTACCTTTAGTGCTTGCCATTATTCTAATGATTTTCTTTTGAATGTAAAATACTTTTTTACTGTCTATTGAGTTTCCCCAGAAAATCATTTGAGGTACTCTTTTATTGAATTATTTTGGCTTAGAATTTATGAAGGATCTTTTTGATTATGTTAATGGTGAATTTTTAGTTCTGTATGTTGTTACCAGTGGGTATGCAAATGTAGGATTCTTTTTACCTTAAACATGTCAGCACATTGTAGTTTGCAGTTATGTGAAAGTTTGTAAGAGAACCATTCAAAACTATCTTTCATTTGATGTTAACTCCTTATAATGAGAATTTATTCCTTAGGTTGCCCACCTCAGCTGAGTTCCTGTGACTTTGGCAGTGTATAGTGATGACATAGTCTTCTTTGCAGAATTGTATCAGAAACATTAGTATTATCCGTTATTACTGATAAGTTTATATATCATCAAGATGTCTCTGTATGATGATATGGATGCCATTAAACAGAAGTCAGAGCAGGTGGCTGGCTGGTCGTCAGGCATCAAACTCTTACAGTCACAGCTGCAGCTGAAGAAAGCTGTGCAAACCCAGGTAATATGACACATTTGTCTTTCATATTAGAAGGTCCCTGGTTTAAATTCCAGGTCTGGGTAGCATTGCCAAAGTCATATGATTTTTCTTGTCTCTCATTATACTCAGAAATAGACTACAACCTGTTCCCTGTTTCATTCTGATAAATGTCATCCCCATAAATCTGAGATCAAAACACAAAGTAAAGTTAGACATACTTTAGCACAGAGCTTTTAAGATACTTTCATTATACATTCCATAGATCCTAAAAATGAGAATGACTGTAGAATCTATAACTATTTAAAATGTGTATGAACAAAAGTATAGTAAAGTCTGTGTAGGTAAACATTAGTGTCATGCATATCCTGTTCGGATTGTCTGAAACAAGGAGGTACCTGATTGCCATTGACTTTCAGCTTCACTTTGGTGTATGCCGTTAGGGGAGTGGGATCTGAGAAAAGTGAAAGGGATTAGATATGAATAGGACATACCAGCTTCTGGTCTATGCTGATGTTAATTAATTGAGTAAAGTAAAGCTGTCCCACAATACACCATGTAGGTGCTTGGACGGAGAGGTTGTATAGCTCCTACTCATTCTTGACCTTGGCATTAGATGAGGGTGAGTGGTCAGTATCACGCTCTGGCCGCAATTTACCCCCAGGAAAGGACCCCGGTACCCATTGGATAGGAGGCTGGGTGGGTCCCATTACCAGTCTTGATGCACAGGCTAGAGGAAAAATCCTCTGCCCCCATCAGGGATCGAGCCCTAGTCATCCAGTCCGTAGCTAGTCACTATACTGACTGAGTCACACTGGTTCATAATTTATTGAGTAAAAACATCCAAAGGAAAACATTGAAGCTCTACTAGAAAGTAGTAAGGAGGTTAAATATATGCCCAGTCTGCAGAACTAAATCATAATACAAATATAGCTAATAAAGTAATGAAAAATGTGGTAAAGTTAAAATATTTGGAAATGACTGTTCCAAATCAAAGTGGCATTCATAAAGAAATTAAGGGAAGATCAAATCTGGGTTGGGGTGAGGGATGCCTACTGCCACTCAGTTCAAAATCTTGTGTCTTCTGCCTAAATACATAAAGTTTAAAATATACAAAACTGTAAGTGTTGTCTTGCATGATATGAAACTCAGTAACTCACATTAAGGGAAGAACATAGTTTGAGGGTGTTTGAGAACAGGGTGCTGAGGAGCATTCTTGGACCTAAGAGAAGGATGAAGAAAACTACATAATGAAAAGTTTAATAATTTGTACTTGCCACCAACTATTATTAGGATGAAATCAAATAGGATGAGATGCATGGGGCATGTAATTGCATATGTAGTTTTGATGTGAAAGCCTGTCTGACATTTTTTGAAACTGTTGTCATGTAGGACCAGCAGTTGCAAGAATGAGTAACTGTTGAGTTTGTTTATAGACAGAGAATAACTTCCCCACACAGACTTAAGTTATCAATGATATTTGAGAATGCAGTTTATTTATATTATTAACTGTGAATTGGTTAGGATGGTGTTGTTGACACCTGCTAGCATTATGTCATAGTGTTTATTGTAAGAGTCTTATCAATATCACTTTATATTGTTTCAAGAAGCATTCAGAATTACTAGGCACAAAATTATGTCATAGTGTACAAACTTCACTTATGGTAAGCAAGACTTTGGTTGTTGTTGCAGCCAAAACGGGAAGCTCTTCGTAAGTCTGGTGTGACATTGGCTCCTGTGATAGACCTAAAATCCAAAAAAGATGAAGAAGATTCCAACTCCAGCTCCAGCTTTGGGAGTTACAACTCGGGAAAGGTTGGTTTCTCAGGTAGCTTTATATTCAACATGAAGTAATGTGCAGATTTTGTGTGACTGTGGATATTGTTTTGCAATGCTTGTAGGATGCAAGAGGGATCCCAAGAGACACAGAGTGGAACTTTGAAGGAGAATATGACCCTATGTGGCCCAATGACTATGAGAAGGTTGTTAAAGGTGAGGCTTGACTAAATACAATATTTAGTGGTTGCAGTTGTGTCTTTTTTGTAAATTGTTTACATACCTACTTGCACCACTTGTAATATAATGTAATTTTGACTGCTAGTGTGCTTTCTTGCTGTTTCAATCAATCACACTATATCTTAACATTGGAAAGGTGACTTATGGAAATTATAAGTGCAGAAAACAAATTTTTGGGCATAACAGATGAAATTTACTTTTCTATTGCTACAAATCTTGTTGCTGTTAATGTCATATTTAGGTAATGTAAATTTAATGTCCCATAATGTGATATATGAATATACAAATGGGTAGGCATACTGACTCATTCATAGACGGTCATTCAATAAAATTATATATGTCAATTTTTTATTGCTCAAAATTGTAAATATGTTGTAGTTTATGATAATGATCATGACTTATGATGATGATTATTGTTGTTAATGATTAGTATGATATTATTATGTTGTGCAGACCAGAACTTCTTACATAGTACAGATTATATCTATGGTAAATTTTCCAGACAACTCAAATTAAATTATTTGATTTTTGTTTTGAGTGTTAAGATTGACACTGATGCCTTGTTTGTAATTGTTGGCTTATTAACATTAACATCCAGAGTTTGTAGGTGTGTTATGATCTATTTTAATACTACATTTCATATGCCTAGGTCCTGTGGTTCATTATAGTATTAGCAGTCTATTTAGTCCCCATGTGAAAATATGCAGAATAGAACATTGATGGTAACTGAGCCTATACCATTGCTGAGGTTGAATGACTGGAGCAGATGAAGGTGGCACGTTTGTAATAGCTAGGAGCATGTACTCTATGTATGTGTAAAAATATTGCCTGTAAATGAACTTTGCTGACTGTAACTTAAATGCTTATGTATCAAACAAATTGTTCCCAGATGTAATTCCATTGTCTGCTGCATACATAAATAACAGATATTTTGTTATCCAAGCACTCTCAGAGATTTCTGCTGTTTCAGTATCAGATTCTCTACATGTTGTAGCTAGCATGTAGTGTTCCTTTCCTACACAGTCATTTGTGAACATGGTAATGAACCTTTGGTTTCATAAAAGGAAGGGAATTTCCTAAGTAACCGAGTGATTTTTAGATTCTCAATGACTCTAATCGATGGAGGTAGTTATTTATATAGACACTCTTTTTTGAAAGTTGCTCAGGTCTGTCACTATCATTCTGTATGATGTCCTCTTCAGATTATTAATCAAATTAAACTTGATGCCATGCATAGTTGATATTGGGGTATGAGATGTTTTCTTAGGTAGTCATTATTCATTTCCCTCTTCATGGCACTAGATGTTCCTTAATGTTGTCTGTTGGAGTTAGCAGCCTCATAATAATCATTCTGATTGTAATCATCAGATTTGTTAACACTGTGCTCATTTGGTTTAGCTTTTTGTCATATAAAATAGAAGGTAAATGTGAAATGTATATCATTACTTTTCTGTTTGTTTACAACTGGCAGACATGGTAGATTATGTAAAATTTCATGTAGATATGTTTACAGATTTTATAGCTATATTCTGATATTTTCTGTCAGAGTAAATGATTGACTTTGTATTTATGCCATGTTTCTGTTATCTTTATATACTTTTATTATTGACAGACCTGAGGGAGATACGTGATCGGGAGAAAGAGAAAGAAGAAGAGGAAAAGCGGCGGAAAAACCGGGAGGACCGTGATCGACGAGTTCGAGACAGGTGTGTGATTTAACTGTCTTTGGACACACTACTCTGTTGGTGGTACTGCATAGACAAGGCACTGGCATCATTTGCTAGCTGTAGCATTTCTGTGTTACTGCCTAGAGATACCGAACTATGCATACTTTGCTGTTTATTAAGAAAATTTCACTTGTGTGAGTGCTGTAATTTTTGTGCTGTACATGCATGGAAAAAGTTATTTTTAATGTGAAAAATAGAATTTACAAGGAAATTATAAATGGCCAGGGTCAGGATAACTCTGTCACAAAAATTACTACCTGCAGACTGGGACTTTTTAACTGGCAGGATGAGGGATATTTTCACTTTGCCACCACATTGAGACTGTCTTTCCCAGCCTCAGGTCTGCAGCAAGCTTTCCACATCACAGAGGTAGTGGGATGCTGCATTGTGCTGGAATAAATTTATACCGTGTTGCAGCAATTCTGGTTCTGATACACAAGACTTAAATATAGGATATTAATGCTTCTTTCTTTGAAATGTGTTTCAGTTTAAATATTTAGTTTTGTGGAATTTGGACTGTTTTATGACTATTATTTATATTCATTTTAGTTAATAGAATTTCACTTCTGTACTTATCAAGTGCATAAATGGGGTTAATTACATGGAAATTAGAGTTCAATACAGAGCATGGTTTCAAACCATGTTGTCACAAGTTGCCTATTTATGTGGGACAGTGTGGTAAGTTGTTTAATAATAAGTGCTCTTCTTGTTAAGTTTATAGTCCTGATGTGTTTGTTGCAGATTTGATAGTAGTGATGATCGTCGTAAATCTGGTTTTGCTGGTCGCAAGGATTCAGATGAGGAAGATGAGGAAGAGAAGCCAGCAGCCAGGGTGGGGGGTGTAGCCATAGCTCCACCTCCATCACTTCAAGAACCCATGTCTCCTAGTGAGAGTTCTCGGTCACCTGCTGCCTCTGTGTCTGGGGACAAATATGGCCTGGCATTTGGAGGCTCAGTGGCAGCCAAGATCATGGCCAAATATGGTTTCAAGGTGAGAAACATTGAGCTGTGGTATGTGTCTGAATGTACAGTTTGTAGACTGTAGTGCTGGTATTTGATTTCAGCTAATAGGATATTGATATTTATTTGTTTGAAGTTTAAAGATTTTATTACCCCAGGCAATCATGCTGCTGCTGGATCTGTTGTGCACCCCTGATCCTGTTATTAACCTTCAGGGATCCCTGACTGCACTGCTAGAGCCAGTACTAGTCTGAATTTGGCCTTCTTAATATCAGTAGCCATGCAATGCTGAAGATATCTAATCTCAGGAGTACTAAGTTTTACAAGCTGTTTATATACAGAACTGGACAAGGAATGGCAAATTACTTTTAATGAAGTTCAAGTCTACCACCTGAGTTTTAAAATGTCTTTTTATTTGGCTCATTCACAGTTATTTGGTGGTGATTACAGTAACTATGCAATTACTATCAGTTATCATCGGTGATGGTGATGTGTTAATATCGATTGAAACTTTACAAGTGAGTGACACAAATTGTACAACTTTAAGTCCATGTATTCTGGATCATTCAGCTGCTGTGGTTTGTCAGATAATGTGTTACACTTCAGATGGTAGCACTGCAGTTGAGTAAAAATATTTTTACCTCGTTTTTTTCAAACAAAATATCTTCATATCAGTCCTTAATAATGTTTAAGGTTTACATGCGTCATGTTTGTGTTTTGGATTAAAATATATAATAAAATACAGGTCAATACACAAAACTATATTTGGGTGTTAAAATTTAAAATTTAAATGTTAAAATTTAAATGATACACCACACAACACGTCTTATGCATAATTCAAAACAAACATAAGATGGGAAAAACGAGAAGACCAGTGAAACACATATTACAATAATAAATTATTGAAAGGCATGCATTAAAATATAAAATAGTTTTAAATAAAAAACAACACCTGAAGATGATGTATTACATCGAAACATATTGTGAAATGAATGAAAGCGCGCAAATGTAACATCCTTATAGTGATGAATAGCGCTAATTTAAAATTTTAAATTTTAACATTTAAATTTTAAATTTTAACACCCAAATATAGTTTTGTGTATTGACCTGTATTTTATTATATACCTTAATAATGTGTTTTGTATCCTTTCTTACTTGTTCAACTACTTACTTTCTGTTACTTTAAGCTATAAAAATTTCTTGAGGAGACCCTACTTTAAGAAACTAATTGAATCCATCATTTTCAGTAAAATCTCCTTTCTCTGAGCTTTCCATATGTACTTTCATTGTTTCCCCCTGTATGGTCTGTACTAACTGTAGTTGTTATTGTGTTGGTGGAGGCAAACCTGAGCTAGAGGACTATCCCTCCCAGGTTACCTGAAAGTACTGGTATCAACACACATTTACAGCTGCCCTGTGATGTGCAGTAATGCATGTTTGGTTTGAAACAGGAAGGTCAGGGCTTGGGGAAGCAGGAACAGGGTATATCCATGGCTCTGCAAGTTGAAAAGACCAGCAAGCGTGGCGGTCGGATCATAAGTGAGAAGGAGATTATGCCTCCACCACCTGTAACAGCACCAGGCTCAAACTCACCAGGTGCTACTTCACAACAGCAGAGCACTGCTACACAACCCAGACCAGAACCAACTATCACAGAGATCATGCGCAGCCCATCCAAAGTTGTGCTACTTCGGGTAAGCAACAGCAAATGTAATTTATTCTGAAGTAATTTGACATTCTGTAAACCATGCTATCAAGGGTCCACAGAAGTTGGCATGATAGATACTAAGCCTAAAATATCTGCAAGTTTTGTTAAGCATGGTTTTATAAAAAAATTGACAATTTTTTAAATAAAATGTTTATATAATGAGAGTTTGATTTGGGTAACTTCAGAGTAGAAGATGCAGCAACATACTTGGCTCCATTTTTCATGTGAGCTTTATAGACCATTAGGTGAAACAAGATGTTTCATCTTTGATACTTTCCCTTGCAGCAGACAAGAGGGTGTATTGTCAATCCCTGCAAGATCATCCTTGCTAAAATTAGCAAGCATTCTCAGTCACACTATTCCTTCATTTGTAATAGATATCCAGTGTTCAGGTCATCCATTTTTACATGAATGAAATAAGGTGACTGATTATTTCACTATGTGTTAGATACTGAAGATTTTAAAGCAGAATGAACAGGAAATCATGCCACATCCAGTGGATCTGAGATTTGCAAGAAAGGAATATTTTCTACTAATTTTGTGTGTGATGTTTTTCAACTATTTGTAGCTGTTTGCATGTTTCTCCTGCCTGACTTCAATTATTTCCTGGTTTTGTTGTAAGATCTTTATGAATGTACTTTCTCACTTCTTGTAGTAGAGTGTTCTTTAACACAAAACGTGTAATAACACAGGTAACAATGTAAACATTATTCAACTTGAAGAATATGAGTTAATTTAGACCTTCACGCAGCACTAGTGACCAGTTAATGAGCTTACCCAGATGTATTCATTCATGAAGAGAGTTGCTACATTAACAAATTGATGCCAAGTGTGCGTAGTAATGGGTCTGTTGAACCATTTTGTTGCAGAATATGGTTGGCCCTGGGGAGGTAGATGAAGATCTAGAGCCAGAAGTGAAGGATGAGTGCAACACAAAGTATGGGGAAGTGGTAAGGGTAGTGATATTTGAACAACCCAATGTGCCTAGTGACGAAGCTGTCCGTATCTTTGTTGAGTTCCGTCGTATTGAGTCAGCAATCAAAGGTGAGTGTTTCTTTTAGAAGAAAAATAACAATTCTTGGTATAATAAACAGAAAGGAAACTTCAAGCGCTGGGTAAGATCAGACCCAGAGACACTCAAGTTACACTGTGACCTCAAAAATATGCTGATGTAATAATTATTGCATTATTTTATTCAACAAGCATCATGGAAATGCTATATTCAAAATTAGTGTTAGCTGCTATCTCTTCAGATTTATTTATCAGCAAATGCCATGCCCACAGCAGTAAACACATCTTAAAAATTTGCATACCGTGTAGTGTATTAGAATATAAATAAGCACAAAAACAACTATTAAAACTATAAAGAAGACACTATTGCCATACGCATTTCAACCTTAAAAGGTCATCATCACTGGCATCAGGGAAATCAATTCAATTAATTAAATGGCTCAAACTTGATTTAGAAAATAAATAATGAATAGGATATTTAACGAAAAGTATTATAAGTCATGTGTTTACTATATAAATAAGCACACAAACAACTATTAACACTATAAAGAAGACACTATTGCCATACGCGTTTCAACCTTAAAAGGTCATCATCAGTGGCATCAGGGAACTCCAGAACAGTGGGCGCCCACTGTTCTGGAGTTCCCTGATGCCACTGATGATGACCTTTTAAGGTTGAAACGCGTATGGCAATAGTGTCTTCTTTATAGTGTTAATAGTTGTTTGTGTGCTTATTTATATAGTAAACACATGCTTAAATAGAAAAGGAAAGAGACATGGACATTAGAGATGCAGGTGGAAAAATTAAATTTATTTTATATCATCTTAAGTGCAAAGAACATACAGCATAAAATGTTACAGTGTTACAGGTTATGTTTTGATCATAGGAGACCTTTCTTTTCTTTTTTCACAAACAGAAGTATGTACTGTTTGGTTCATATAAATACTGTACTTATGTGTCTAATGTTTTTCATGATTTGTTACCCATTTTCACCAGTATTCACTTCAATTAAATTTAGTGTTGTTGAAAAAATTATAGTTAATTGTAATGGCATTTCTCCATTCAAGCAGAGAAAATTTGTTTTACAGTGCAGTTTTGTCAGAAATAAGATGAACATAGACAATCCTTTCTGCAGTTATTGATGTGTGTTGTTCATTATATTGTTTGTAGTGTTTGTTCAGATATGCAGTGACCAGAGAATTTCCCCACTGGAGAATTCTCATGGTCTATTGTTTTCTTAAGAAAATGCAGTGTTCGGTAACTTTGCATTGGTTTGTTTGCAGCTGTGGTGGACCTCAATGGACGGTTCTTTGGAGGACGTCAGGTGAAAGCAGGTTTCTACAGCTGGGAGAAGCTGAATAACTTAGAGTTACTTGACTGAAAGAATTTGACTGAACTGTTTTATGCAGTATATTGAAACTCTGAGTGTATGTGTCCATACAGCTGCCACTGTTTTGCTACTCTACAAATGAGAATCTTACTAGGCTCAGTTTTTAATTTTTCACCCCATATTCAAGTGACTATTTTTGTCACATGTGATGTTACTAATGGGTGTTCTGGCCAGTTATTGTGAAGGTCTTGAGACAAAAGTGACTAATTTAATCAAACTCATTCAGCATATTATTGAGAGATAAAGCAGACATATTCATTCTACCAAAGTCCTATTTAAAGAACCACATTAGGCTTGTATGATTTTATATGACATAATGCACTATTCTGTTCTGTCTTTTATTCATACACAGGCTCTTCACAAAAATATACCAGCATTTTCTTGATATTTATTTATGAAGCAATAAACGCATGCCACATTATACCAAAACTAAAAAGGTTTTACTCATTAGAAAATATTTCCAATGTAGGCAACCTCATTACTAAGAGTTTTGGAAGAAGCTTGATCATAAGGATCGGGATTGATGAAATCAGATGCTCAGTATTGGAAACACAAGAATATAAAATATACTGAAGCAGAAAATATAACACCAGAACTACAATGTAGAGCCATGCTGTGACTCTATGTCTAGTCATTTGTCACTACTCCATTCTTACAAGTAGCACATCTTTCATTATGCTCCAGTTCAACCTTATATGAATTTGAAATGTTACACCAAATGTCACAGTACTTTCTGCTTGCTCTAGTCTTGACTAAAAATCTGACATCCTTTTGAAAATATTTTAATGTAGCAAGGTCGATTTTAAAAGCACAGAGTTGAAATTCTTGGCAGTTGTGTATCAAAACCAGTATGTTGTACAGCCATTCTGTGTGCATTGCTTCTTCATTTTATTCATAATTATCCAAATGGTTAATTAACATCAAGCATATGTATAATAAATATGAGGGTGGTTCAGGTTTGACCCTTACATTGATTTTGAATGTACAGAATAACATGGTAATGTAGTCAGTGTTCAGCAGTCTAATTTTGGATGGCAGAGCTGCTTGTGGTCTCTGAAAGAATGCTTATGTTAAAAAGTTACAGTGAGGTATGTAGCACACCCTTGATTTTCTTACTGGTGTGAAATATGTGTCCTCCAGAATACTCTGTTTTAAAGAATAATGCTTGACTCAATTAAGAGTGCCAAGTAACAAGATTGATCAGATTGTAGGAAAAATGTTTACAGTGCCATCATCAGTCAGATTCGTCCTTTGTATTAGACCTGATAACACTTGTGTACTGATACATGCAGTTGCACTCAGATTGTGTTTGTGAAATATATGGCAGCATTAGTGGAAGGTATAAACATTTCATTCCTGAACAGTTAAGTCAAGAAATTGACTTCAAATAAAATTGTAAAACATTCAAAAAAATAAATAATCACTGAAAATTTTTACATTTGTATATATATTTGGAGCCTCACCTAAAATGGGTAGTACTACTGTTCTTACTTTGTTATTACAGTAGAAGTTTTGAGTTTCTTCCTTGTAAAACAATGTATGGCATTATATAGATATACAGTGAAACCTCGATGCATCGTTTTCGGCGGGGGTGGGAAATAAAAACGATGAATGCGGGAAAACGATAGATGCGGGAAAGCATTAAAATTTTTTAAAAAAACAATGTTTCTCTTTCAAAGTTACTTCTTTTTACCAAAAAAGTCTTTAATGGACAACTGGTTTGTCGAAACTTTACGTTTTAGACCAAACAGAGCACTTTCCACGTTCAAAATGTTTTCCTCGTCACGTTCACGCCTTTCCTTTGTCCTTGTAATAAAAGCATTTGTGAAGAAATTCACACTGCACATGCCATCTGGCATCGCTGGAACGAAATATGAGTGCACCCTAATTAAAATCGTAAAATTTCTGACAATGGGCACCGCCATTCACTCCAACTATCACCCCTGCACCGCTGACCCTCATTCCAAAAGAATGTGCTGGTTGGGCGACATAACAGGTTACCGCTACTGTTTATTCCAAAAACATTGTGCGTCTTTCGGTATTAATTTATCTCTAAACCCAGCATTTTAAATTCTCAGGAACGATCATTGCGGGAAAATTGTGGGCCGGGACTACGATTTTTGAACGATCGATGCGATAAAACGATAGTTCGAGGAACGATAGAAGCGGGAAAATGTAACATTATTTTATATGGGATGTATTCGGGACCGAACAAAACGGACGATGCATCCGGGAAAACGATAGTTCCGGGAACGATGGATAGAGGTTTCACTGTATAAATGTGTTAGTCATATAATGTAAGTTGGTCTTAAATTGTTAAACTAACAGCAGATCTAACATACTATTCAGGAGATCCTGTTGAACACATAAGACTTTGTAGGATTTCAGGTTCTCATGGTGGTTGAGTGTGAAGGTAGCTGTAGTCTGCATTATCATTACCGTGATAACGGAGGAAGCAAGTACCTCTGAAACACTGGTAAGCAACTACCAGACTACACAGCACTACAACCAGAAGACAGGAATCTTCACATGCCTTTTCTTTCATATGGTTGCCTGTTCAATTTAAGATGGATCTCTATTTGCTTTAAAGAGTGAATACCTGGTAATAAAAAAAAACTTTTCAATGACTGTTAGATGATCCAGTGCATCACTAGCATATAGCTTGATAGGAGAGATGGATTAGTCTATAAAATAGGAGACAGTAGATCCTTGAAGCTGCATAAATGATAACTTAGATTTAGAATATTGGTACTTGGTGTCTGTGCTACAATGAAATGTTAGTTGTTTTTTGCAAGCAGAAGCAGATGGCTTGAGAGACAGATTCGTATATAATACAAGTGATGAATTAAAATCTTTGAGCTGCTCTGGTGGTAGCTTCATGTAGTTATGTTTATTTACATTCCACACAGTAGGTTGATCAAGCAGGAGAAGACATTGTTTTGGCTGGAAATGGAAAGCATGTAGTTTCTCTCTACATAAAATATGAGAAACTGAAGGTGTGAAGCCTAGTGGCTATGAAGAGCTGGAATGTGAATTTTTTGCCCACTATGTTGAAAACATTCTCTGCATGCAGTTGAACTATGGCAAGATGGTTTGGGCCCAATGATTCTTTTTCACAAGCATGGAAGTGAATATAGGTATGGGTAGCTGGTGTCTGTTCAGGTATTTTTATGCATATTGTTGACATGCAGCTGTTCCCCTGCACAACATTTTGCTATTTAATAGCGCAAACTGACATTAGTTGTCAAGAATTCAGATCATATCATGTTGGGTTAGGATGTGCGCAGATTATCATGCGCAATGGCGGCATCACTATTCCACCTGGCGATTTTGAGCATCTGCCACGATGGTATCACAAAATGTGAACTCTTTATAATTACTATTTTCCATTAGTGACGTTCCTAACAAATATAAAATCCTCACACATTATTTATTAATGCACTCGACATGTCACCATATAATACATATTAAGATAACGTATACACATGTAAATTAGCCTGTAAGCAGCGGCCAAGTTTATACACACTTATTTCATTGTCGAGGAACAGGTTCCTACTGCCATATACTAAGGCGGAGAAGTTAGCAGGCATACTTTTGTGATAACTCATAAGAGACGAAATTTTCTACATTACCACAGCGAACAACAAGCAATGTGATAAACTGGAAGATTGTGTGCTTATACTGTTGTTATCTTTGCCTATATTCGCAAAGAATGCAATGGTTCTGTTCTTGTGAATATTAGTTTACTTTTTTATCTGTGGCGTGTAAATCTCTGTCTGGCTTAGTTTATCTTTGTATATGGGTATCACTTGAACAATTTGTTGTAAAATTTGAACGGTATTTGTGGCTTATGTCATTGTGTAAATATTGTATAGATTTAGCACAGAGTGTTAAGAGTTTTTAAATTAATTTTGTTTTAAAATGTCTGTTTCATATATGATGCGTTTAAAAACAGCTGCTTTCATAGTTGTTTGTTTTCTGCTGTGGCAGGCACTAAGACATTTTCCTTCTTTTTCAGAGTTCTCAAATAAGGTGAGTCCCTGAAATATGCTGTTTTGATGAGGTGTCATGTTCAGTGGAAATCTTGTTGATGTAATTTTTTGCATTACATGATTTTAGATGATGCGCACGTTATTGCGTTGTCGTCCAAATAAGAGTTCTTGACTTATGCCCCTTTGAGGCAGTATCAAATATTGTCTATAAAATATTTGTAACAAATGGATGTGCTGTATTGGCATTTTAAATAGGTGCTTTGCAGTTTTGGCAATTGGTTATTTTGTGAATCAAGCCAAAGTGGTATAGAATAGTGCCCTTGACATCGACGTTGCTGTGGAATAACTTCGATGATTTAATATTAATAAAATATTCATTTAACTGGTGGTACATGAATTATTGTTGTTGTAGCACTTGACCCACCGCTGGGAAACTGTGGTGCCATCAGCAATAGTGCCACCAATATTAGTGACTGTATTCTATGAAGCTCTTTGTCCGGACTCAAGAAGTTTTTTTACTAAACAGTTATTGCCAACATTTGAGAAAATTCCACTTCTGATACAAATTAATTTGGTGCCGTATGGAAAAGCCATGGTGAGTTTTAGCACTGTAATGAAGCTTTGGTAGGACATTATCATTTGTCTTACTTAAAAATAAAAAATAAAATAAAATTAAAATTTTGAAATTTACTGCATATTCGAGACTGAGAGTAGAGTAGAGTAGAGTAGAGTAGAGTAGAGTAGAGTAGAGTAGAGTAGAGTAGAGTAGAGTAGAGTAGAGTAGAGTAGAGTAGAGTAGAGTAGAGTAGAGTAGAGTAGAGTAGAGTAGAGTAGAGTTTATTTACATTCCATAGATCCTTCTTAGGACTCAACCAAAGGATGTAGAACATGTCATTTCATACAATATACATACACTTCACAACTTTCAACACAAGTACAAGAACGTATTTCACATATCAATGTACATAAATTTCAGATTCTGCAATACAAGTATGAAAAATAATTTTACAAATTAATATACATAAACCTCAGAATTTTAAATATAAATACAAAACTTGCTTTACATATA